CGGAGATGTTCTTTTCTATTCAAGTTTGTACTGATCCTTCTCTGTTCCGGCTCTTCATCGGCGGGCCCCAGGGGTCTCTAAACGCCGACGAAGCGCCTGCAATGGCTCGGATTGATTCGCCGAGCCCAATTGCGACATACCTGCTCCCCTTCGAGCCATCGCCTCCACACTTGGCTGCACTGCCATTCCGCCATCCTCCATTCACATCTGAAAATAAAAGGAAGCCTAGGCGAACTGCAAAAACCAAACTGGACGTCATGAATGCGTACTCATAAATGGATCCGAAATATGTGGCAGCACTGTTCAGTCTACATCCTTTATCTGTTCAACCAACTGCACGATTAAGGGAAACACGGCGCACTCTCGGAAGCTTATTGGTTTATTTCGCGACCCAAGCGATTCGATGATGTCTTTCACTCTTGCTATCGGCTGAAACGGGCTGTTGCTTTGCATCTGGTTCAGCCTAAATGCTGGCGGTTAGCGACTGCTTATGGTATGTCGTAAGATGTCTTTTTGCGCTTTACGTTACTTCCTTTACAATGGTAGCAACAGAAGGAGACAAGGTGGTGAGATTAGTGTACCATGACTCGAGCATTATTATATAATTAAGCTATTTGAAGACGAAGGGACGAGCACCATCTACCAAAAAAGAAGTACGTGTGAGAATTATTTTTTTAAATTTTAGAGCGCAGTTCTTAGGCGCCCGTTTCCGGCTTGAGCGGCGTCGGCGTAACCGCGCGGTGCATTATTGGAAACATCCCATAATGCAACGCGTAGAACCGTTCGTAACGTAACGCGGGCGACGTTTCGAGATCCTGCCGAAACGTCTTCCATAATGCACCTCGCGGGAGGGAGGAGAAGGGGTAGTGGAAGTGGGGAGGAGGAGGAGGTGGAGGGGAGGAGCACGGGAGGAGTAGATGAGGAGAGAGGAGTAGAGGGTACGGATGAGGAGGAGGGGCATACCGTCCCCTCCGTACCCTCCCTCCTCCCTAAGAGCTGCGCTCTAACTCGTCATTGCAGAGAGTTGTAAGGGTCTTTCATTTTTTTCTCTCGCCTTTGAATGTCCTCCTCGCAGGCAGAAAATTATCTCAGATTCTGGCGAGAAATATAAGGAAGCATTTTCTTCTTTCTTGCAGCGGGATTCATGGTGAAAAGGTTATTGAGAATATTTCTTTTTCATTTGGGCTTGCAAGTGAAACGGCGGGACCCTCGCGGGCTACCTCTTCCGAATCACGCCTTTTAAAATGCGGGGAGGTTGCTCCCAATCCGAGGTACGGCAGATTGGAATTGAATCACGAGCGCTTATAATCTGCCATCGTTAGCGTTTCTCCACATCGAAGCTCGTTAAGGCGACGAGTGGGCTGCAATACGAGCGCAGTGTGCTGCACAACAAAGAGGTAGTCACGAAAGTTAAGTGGCTCTTTCTTTTAGTAAGGGGCGAGGGGGGGGGGGGGGGGGGGGGCGCTATTCAAGTGCAGACTTGATCGATTGCAAAAATAGCTGAGAAGGCGCTCGGTTTCGCCTCGCATTTTAGGTTCGGAATCCCTTCGGGCACTTAGCCTCTCCTTTTACTTTTCCTTGCCGTGGAGAGGTCGTCAGAGTTGATGGAGCATGTCTCAAGCGAACAGAGTCAAGAAAAGCTGATCCACTGATTGAGACATTGTTCCGTTTCAGGACTGTGACTATTACTCTTTCCTTTCACACGTTGGTGACCGTTAAAAAAACACACTAAAATTAAAAAAAGAAAAAAACTACTTATAATTATATATGTTTATTGTGAACGAAAAGGGGAGAAGGTGAATATTGAATTTATTGCACTAAAGTTACGGAAAGGAACGAGAGGTGGCAAACATCTTCACGTGGTAAATTATGTTGATTGGGGCGAAGCTCGGGTGGTGCTGACGATACTGATCTCGGTCATAAATAGTGGTGATGGTGCCATTTTCATTAATGTCAGTAGGTTTATTGATGCAATAAAAGGAAATCAGAGATGTTAGCCGGGAGTACAATCTCCTGACTGGCTACTCTGGTGGGAAAGGAGTAAGGGATATCACAGAGTTAAGATAGAGGAAAAGAAATATAAAGAACAAAAGAGACACACTCACACATAATACACACACAACCATTTGGACAAGAAAGTTCAGTGCATAGCATTAGAGTCTCTTATCCAGGCCTGTTGCTGGAAGGAAACGGAAGAGGGCCTTCGTGGTGTTTAAAGCACAGTCTTCGTTGTTCCATGGCCCCAGGAAGTGCTGTATTGTAAGGGGTGGTCCCGGAGACTTCCTATTGTCTTGTAAAAATTGTTTTCGCTCTCCATCATAACTTGTACATTAAGTAAAATGTTTTAAATATCTTCGATAGTTCCACATACGGCGCAGTTTGGGAACTCTAATACCCAATAAGATGAAGGTAATAGTTAATGTAGGCGACCTTTAGCCGAATCCTATGGAGAACCGCCTCCCGTCGCCTCTTCAGGCCTCGAGGTACTCGAAACCGTAAGTACGGGTCAATATTTTTTATGGAGGAGCTTTGGTTGATATCATTTTTCCAGAGGTTCGTTGCGGCCGATTTCTCCAATATCACCACTCTTGAACAGGCGTCCGTTTTGTAAATGGAGCTAGGACTTTTTGGGCAAATTCGTGAGCCTTTGCAGCCATTGAGTCAGCCATTTCGTTACCCATGACACCACAGTGACTGAGCACCCACTGGAATGATACGGAGTGGCCAAGGGAAACGATTTCTGAGTGAACTTTAAATATTTCTAAAATTACTTGTGTGTTTGGACTATTTTTACGTAGACACCCCCTAAAGATGGCTTCCGCCATTCAATATACATCTGAGTGACATTCTATTGCCCCTATCGCCATTCGATTGCTCTCGCTTGAAATTTATGGACACGGTATCACCCCGTTATTGAAGTTTGGCAATGACGTGGTAGACGCTAAAGTGACAATCAAATGGCGAAAGAACCCTTTAGCGTCTTTTTATTGGCAGGTATCCATACAGAATTCGGGTATCGTCTTTTTATACTCATCCTATTGTCAATCTAGCGCCCCCGGTGGCAGTGCAATACCGGCCAATTTCTGCTACAAGTAAATCAAACTTTAAGTACAAACCATAGTTATAATATACGGTAGAGGTTCAACTGGCTCTTCTGTTCCGCGGCAAATTGAAGAAAACCATACATGGTAAATTTCTTCCAAAATGTAATTTAATTACAATTGCAATAATTTTGCTCCAAAAGTAGTTTAACCTTAATTACAACTACTACTATGTGAAAAATAATTCATTACAATTACAAATTACATCAAAAAGTAATGCAACTACTTTGCATTGCTTATTTCTGGGAGCGACCATTTTCGTCTATATAACTTCAAACACCATGTTAAGAATGCAACGCATTTCTTCATTTATTGCCCAAATGTTTGAATCGCCGAATATATATCACGAATTGTACATTTTTTTTGTGAATTTCCTTAAATTAATGAGAAAACTTAACAATTTGGGATAATGAAATCCTACGTTCTTATATTTTCAATAAATAATAATAAAGTAGTTTATATACTCGAAGATGCCAGATCACTAAAATAAAATTGGTTGACATACTTTTCTTAGCCAGGCAAATAAAAATGTGGCAATTAGCCATATCTGAATATTTTAATAGTGTTAATATATTACTACAATATACATCCACACGCGCTAATACAACCATATTTACAGACAAACGTTTCATTTTTTTCTAATTTATTTATATTGAGTTGAAATTAGAATGGCTCAAAATTTATAAGACCCGAATATGGGCTCCCGAATCCATCATGACAATATCAACAGGTGCGAAGTCAGCTCAAAAATGCTTATGCAAATAATATCCGAGGTAAAACCAACAAAAAATAAACTTGAAAATAATACAAAAAAAATGCGACAGTACTCAAAGGGGGGCGCAAAAAACGGGCAAACAAATAAACCCTTAAAAACCTCAACCTCGGCCGCCTTTTTTTTTTTCTCGAAAATTTGTCTTGTTGGGACATTTGGCGATATTTACTACATTTCTTTTTACGACTAACACTGAAAAAAAATGTTGTCGACGACAGTGCTAAAAGCGCGAGCTCGTTGCTTTGGATCGCGCGCCACGAGCACTCCTGCAGCGGGTGCAGTCATGCCAGTCAAGGCTACTCGCTCGCTGCTTGCACGGCCTTCGCAGCTATTCTATGCAAGGGTGACAATCCGTCGTACTGCACACACGTACAGCTCCAGAAAAATGCGTACAAAGTTACTGCGGCTGGGCTCTGTCGCCTCCAGTACACGTAATCTTCATTTGCAACAGGAGTGACGGACGGCACCGGGCGGAGTTTGAAAATGGAGAACGCTTATTTTGATGTTCCTAAGAACGCGAGGAGTACAGGCGGCAATGTTGACAACACGCACCAGCGCGGACACCGCCGAGCCGCCGAGCCGACCACCCGGCCACACACACGCCGAGCGACCGACATTACACGATGCAGTCAGCGGCATCCAAAGAAAACGTGTTGTTGACGTAAAAATTACTAAGATGTCAAAATAAAAGCTGCTATTTTTACGCCTGTGACGCCATTGTCCACGCCCCCTGGATATCCAATCGGTGTCGAAAATACGCAGCCTCCGATTCCAAACCGAAACTAAAATGCTGTCGTATTCTGTGGCTAAGCGAAGTTTCGTATCGCATATAAAACTTTTATTTTAGTACATTTGTTTTGGTTTTTCAAGTTTGTTAAAACGTTTTATTGTTTTTTTTTCGCCACTGTTCTACGAATAATTTTACGTTAACTTTTTATTTCCGCATTTATTATGCACCTCGAAACAGTCTTTTACAAGCCAATCCAATCCACCCCGAACTTCATTTGCGTCGAAGCCGCCGAAGTTTTGTTGCGGTTAGGTGTGTCTTATTTTTACGTAGAACTCATATCGATTCGATATGCCTCGTCCGAGAATGGAATTTGCGACTAATAAGTGGCGAGGCACAACGCGAGCAGGAATGAACAGCCCTGGAGGTTGTGGGCACAGCTCAATTGGCTCATTCCTCGGTGCTTCTCGAAGGTAAGCCTTTTTTCTCTGTGTCCTCCTAAGCTTCCTTTCAAGCATCTCTTTGGTTTGTTTCCTTGCCCTGCCTTTGCCTAATCGCGCTCGAGAAGTGTATTCTGACAGGTATTTCCCTTAGGCGAGCATCTCTCCTCGCGCTTTTCGTCAAACCGTCCGACGGGTTGCGAGTTCCAATCGCGAGGCCATGATTCGGTCACCCAACACGTCGGTCGGCTTGTCAAACGTTTGATCGCACGTGGGTCGTCACTTCGCGTCGGCACGCATCGCTGCGTACCCATATCTGTACTGGCCAGGTTTCTTTGTCGGCCCGCGCGTCTTATCGTTGTGGGTGATCTCAAGCGACGCGAGCGAAACTCGTAAAAAAAAGAAAACATTGTGGTTGGAGCTTTTTCATCTACTGCGCTATATATCTATATATAAATATATATATATATATATTTCTTTTTTTTTTGAGATTTGTGTGAGGTTTTTTAATAATAATTTCGGGGGGTCAGGGTCGGGTCGGGTCAACAAGTATAAATAAGATGTATATCCCACTTGAAGCTGTGAATGCCGCTCGCTGTCATAATCCTTGCTTTATATGTAGAGTCGGGGCGGAATGGGGGGCTCGGGCGGCCGGTCGACGGTTCTCGGGGCACCGCCGGCGCTGCGCTGGGGCTTGGAGCGCTCCGGGCTGGGGTCCAGCACATTCGAGTAGGATGTGGTCGGCCCTAGCTTGGCGGTTGCCGGGCTTAGGCGTGGCGCTGGGGGCCGTCGGCCTGCTGTTCGCGGTTCGTTTCCGTTTCCGACTGTGCATAGTGTTGTTGTTATTAGGGTTGATTGTTTATCTCCCTCTCCCCCCCCCCCCCTCCCCGCTGTCCTCGTCTTTTTTTCTCCAGTACATCTTTTTTCCTTGTGCAACAGCAGACTGTCGCACAAGAGCGACATCTTTTTCATCCGTGGTGTCACCTGAACTGTAGAAAGTTATTATTATAATGCAATTAAATGCAAGGGTGCAAGCGAGCTGGACAATAATGATGAAAATAATCCCTGGAGAAGGGGAACAAGAGACTCGCTTCTTAGTGTGGCCCGTGAGGCTGTGCGCTTTCCGCTGTCTGCTTTCACAAACACAATTACGGTGATGTACCCAGAGTGCATCGCTCGCTAGCCTTGCGTGAGTACACTCTATATGGTATATGTTGTTCAAAGTACCTTTATGCATAGCTGATCCAACCTGCATTCTCTTTTGCCATTGCCGGTAGCAAACTGTGTCTGTTTAGTATTGCATACCTGCCAACTTCCCCGTATTACCCAGAAGTCTTTTAAATTTTGATCAGTTTGTATGATTGACAGAAAAACCTCCCGGAAAAGAGAAATTACCCTCCCCCTCTCTTTTGTACCAAAGAAGAGTTTTTGCCATTACTGTGGACGCCTGCAATCCCATGAACATAGGCAGTGCAATATATAAATGTAATGCAGTTGTCTTCATCCAATTTGTTGTCAATATTTCTTTTTAAAACACCAGATAATCCCCCCCTCCCCTGCTTAGAAATTATCCCGAATTGGGTGTCCCCAAACTTGGAAGATATTGTATTGTCTGTGCCTTTTCTATCTTGTGTGAGTTATGTAACATAATATATCTGTTCTTCACAATTATAATCGCTGCAGGCCTGTTCAAGGAGGAGTTGCTCAGTGAACTACTAGTTTGAGTTTCCTGAGACGACACCACTGACATCACCTACAGTGCCGAGGTACAGGCTTAATGGCAGATATCAATAGGAGTTGATGGTAAGCTGTCCTATTTATTTAGCAGTGTTGGAGTAACTCACTTGAGCTTTCATCACTGTTTTCGCTGGCAGTTTGTTGCCTGCACACAAAAATTGTCCATGTTCATTCAAATTGATGCAGCCTTCACACTTCTGCGGTTTAGAGCGATTCGCAGACATATGTCGATCATAGTCGAAACAGCGTGGCTCAATGTTAGAGTTGAATGCTGAGTTTCGCTTGGCAGCTTTTTGGCCACTTCGGTCACTACAAAACATTATTTGCCTTCTCAGGTACGCGTCACGTCTGTTTGGTTGGACAGCCACCGAGTTGACTCGGATGTCAGCGGCTGTTGTCATCAGAACCTGGTTCTTGTGCTGCCACATCATTTTTGGTGGTGGCGCTGTCGTCACCTCCAACGCTTACGCTCCCCGTGTTCCCATTCAAGATGGTGAGTGGTATACTCGTGGGGGCCTCGCTGCTGCAGGTGCTGCTATGTAGCTCTGGCTCGTGGTGGCTCCACCGCCATCATTTGTGCTCCCTGTGATCGCAGCCGGAGTGGTGACAGGGATTATGCAGGGCTCTTTGTCGCAGGTGCTGCCACGGACTTTGGCTCGTGGGGGTGCCGTCGCTACTGACAAAGCTTGTGCTCCCCGTCGTCCCTGTTGAAATGGCGGCTGGAACTTGGAGAGGGTTCGCTACCACAGCCGGTCAGTTCAAGTTCCGCACATTCTGTCGTAGCCCTTGGGAATTCGTTCCTTCCATGTTGAAATTCTAGTAGGAGAAGTCCACCGCTGTTGAGCTACATGTCACCACAGCAGTCAATCTGCAGAGGGGCATGGCCACGTGACCACACTTCTGAAATGTTAGAGCCTTGTTGTGGACATGGAGGCCGGTGTGAGAGATTTAATGTGCGTCTGGCACATCTGCCCGGCGAAAGAACTCATGGGTGTGCCACATGGAAAGTGAGCAGACTGTGCAAGTCTCTTTTACAAAATGGCGCTGTCAATAGGTAATGTCTGAGTCATTCTTGTCTTACGTAGGTGATACTTTCTAGGCATAATGTGTTAATAGATAGCTATGGTGTTATTGCTTAACTCTGAACAAGATACAAAGTATGAGACATTTTCAGGCCAAGTAAAAAATTTCGGCTCACTTTAATCTTGAAGAGCTTCCAGAGTTTCACATCATCCAGCAATCCTGAAGGCGATGCACCACATGTAATTATAATTAATATTCCCGCTCTTAGTTTACCAGGAAGGTGTTCAAGAAATTGTAGGTAGTGTTAGTTGCTTAGAAGAGCGATGTGTTTTGCATTCAGTCTTGCACCTTGGCGTTTCATTCACTTTGGGATGAGGTGCTTCATTCTTGTGTGTCCTTGGTTGTTTCCTTAGCCCGTAAAGGTGTTGGAGGTTTGTACGTTTTATTTTTGGGAAAACCATGTGATGTTAGTATCTGGCATATTTTTTTTTATTGCTGAAAGCTGTTTGAAGTGAGCCTTTTGTCCACCTAAGAGCACAATGATTGGGAGCTTCACTCAAGTGTGTTTTGTGGCCACACCGTAGAGCATGATTGAAAGCATTGATGCATGCTATTGATACCAAGATCGGGACTTCAGAAAGGATCAGTCAAGTCTTCCTATTTTTATTTCCATTGATTCATTGGCATTCTAGATCTCTTTTTGTAAGCGTGTTCACGTAAGCTTGTTCAACTTTCTGGGTCATAGTATCGGGTCGTTCTGTACTTATCATATGCGTTATGCATTTGTCATTGGTCTCATCTGCAGTTGTCATGGGCTCATGGCCGACATATTTGGTGCTGCTTTGATTTGGAGGGTAGATATTGTCCGCCATATGTCTAGCAAACTTCATATATCCCAACTTCAAAATTTTCTCATAGACCTGATTACTAGGCAATAAGCTCCTTTTCAATATGTGCATTTACTTAAATTGAAATGCCAAAAGCCTTTTAATAATCAGCCACATGCAGAATAAGAACAGTGTTTGTACCACGTAGTGTGGGAGAAAATGGGGGGGGGTGTAGGCCAAAGCAAACGCAAGCAGTGTGAATACAACTCTAGGACTTATAAACGGGGTAAGTGAGGATATTGAACTGTCTACCAAGACCATGTAGCTCACACATTTAGCAGAGGATAATTGGGTTTGATTTAACAAGCTATTGGGGTGGTTGTAAAGCTCCTATACAGCCCCACATGGAGTCACCCTGCATGCACTGATCTAGACTGCTCGTTTCACATAGATTTGTGTGACCTATTGATCTAACTGCTTCTTTTATTTGCAATGTTTTGTGTTATTCAGGATAATTGGGAACCCAGCAAAAGGTTGGCATGTCATAGAGTAAACATGCCATCGTACAGTGTGCTTCATTCTAAAATGTAATGCATGAGCAGTGGCCAAAGCTGATAGCACTTGTCAAATGAGGAAATAAATGATACTGCAAAAACTGAAGCATATTTTCCTGGGACCGTTGCAACTCCCCTATGCAATTATTGCATGACCTCCTTGTTTCTTTTTTTATTGCCCTCAGTTAATTTTACAAGGGCTGGATTGCTGTTATCCTTAATAGGTCGGCGTGTCACGTTTATCTTGAGGTTCAATTAACGGGAAATTTGTTTTGATAAGTTAAATAAGGGAAACAACAAAATGTTCAGAGCAATGTCTTTTTTTTTGCATCACCGAAACATTTATTGGTCACCGCGTTGAAACTAGGAGTGTAACGCACAAAGAGAACTGCAGTGTGACCCTCCAGTCTGTGCCGTCAGACGATGCACACATTCTGCAACATAAGTGCAGGATCAGCTTTTCTTTGTTTTTTGGGGAGGGGGGGGTTGATTTTTGTGAGATGACATGAAAATGTTGTGGTCATCACCATCAAATTGTTTGTTGTCTGCTTGTTCCCTGCTTTAGTGACAAGGCCACTGACAAGCCGCTTCACTGGTACTAAATTGAACTGCTTGACAAGTTGCTTAAACAATAGCGATACACAAATGGCAGTACGAGGACAAGTGGAAGAACCACAAGTAGCGCTTGTCCTATCACTTCTTCGACTTGCCGTTGTCCATAGCATTATTTGTGTTTTGCCCCTCTTCACTGCTCTTCATCTGCTTCATAAAGAGCAAATAAATAAGGCTGCTTAATAAAATGACACCGTCCGTTAAATCGGTAAACATTTCTCTGTAAAACATATTGCCCTGGCCAAGTCCAAGTCTCGTCGTCACGATGAGTCGCATAGTGACTCGGCTAACAATGGTTGATGAATTGGATGTAATTCTACTGAATCAGTAGCATACTTCAATCTCTCTCTGCACAAAGCCTATGATGTTTCGGAGCGATTGACATAGTGTTTTCTCGACAGCCGAGGGGCTTGAAGCAGGTGCTTAATGTCTGTGAGCTTCCACCATTGAAATTTTAACTTGTCACTTACTCCAGAACTCGATAATGGAGCAATGGCTGATTTTATGAAGTTTGCGAAACCGACGTCGGAGACCTTTGACTTGGGAGAGGTTTACAGGGCTAGAAAAATAATGACAGCACGTCCTTACTCACAATTATCTGTAATAAAAAGACGGTGCTCAAAGAACTGTAGCTAGTTTTAAGTGTCACTCGCTGAAGCGGTTTTTATATTGTGTTAATTCCTGCATTTTGCTGTTCTGTTTTCTGTTTCAGGATCCAGTGTTACATTCCTGTGGCTTTTTGTTTGTTTCCCAATTATTGAAGGGAGTTGCAGGCTTATCATGGGCGACACAGTGCTTTGGTGAGTGTACCTTTTATTTACTGCTTGGCCAATCAAATCGAGTGGCTTTAAAGGAAACTCTTTACAGTTTCAGGATGTTTGAGAATGTGTCTCCTTCAGACATTCTGAAATGGCACAAATTTTTTTGTGCTGCATCACTATGCTCTGTTGAATGACCAGCTGAAAGCGTGGTAGATGCTACATGCTCGTTGGACCAGTCATATGTCTACCTTTCGCCATGTATTGCACTCCCGCCCATAACCATGTGCAGAAGGCGGGGTCAGGTAACAAGAGGGAGGTGGTTGATTGATCCAGTGGGTGCGTAGTTACCGCCACAGTCAGCTTAGAGGTGAATGTTAATTACTCAAGCTTTAAATAGGTCACAGTACTCAAAGCCTGAGGAACACCTCAGAAGTTTTTAGAATGCTTTTATTCACCGTGTCTACTCGCTCCATGAGTCCCAAACTACGTCCAACTCGGCTAGCCACCAAGCCAATTTTCTTTCGCCGCCAAGCTGCCAGGCCACTTCAAACCAGGCAAAGCATAGCAGTACATGCTTTCACGGCTGCAAGTGTGTAGTTGCGGATGTGATCGAGTGAAACCGAGCGGCGCATACACGTAACAAAGCTGGGGTCGAGGAATTGCCCAGCTTTGGACATGTTTCGCCCACCGAATGCATTGATGTCAACAAACACGCGGTCATCTGTGGTGTGCTTTCGGACAGTGAAATCGTGAAAGTGGTTAGGCCTAAGGACGGTCGCGTCACTCTCCATGCTGAGTGAGCTTCCATAGTAAAAAAATCTTAAATGTATAAAAAAGTTTGATGTCCAACAAACGCATATGATTTAATAAGATCATATAAGAAAATACAAGAACCTTATAAAAACATATAACAACAATATAAAATTATATTTGAGGTTATAAGAAACTTCTTTTTAGTTTCTTAAAACTTCTTATATAATCTTATATATTTCCTATATTGTTCTTATATGTTATTATAAGGTTTTTATATGATCTTTTTTGGTCATATGCTTTTATTGGACACTTAAATTTCTCAGACATGCAAGATTTTTTTACTATTTACAAGAAGGGTGCTTTTCCTTTGACAGAAGGCACACTGAAAGCACCCTAAAAAAGGTTTTCAAAATATAGAACATGGTTATTGTAGCGCGCCCACGACCAGCCGTCAATGCGCCTCTTTCAGTGGAGACATGCCACAGTACTTTGCCGTGTCATACTGCCACCTAAAATCACATTTTTGCGAACTGTGTAAATGCAGAAATTTACCCTGCATAATGAATGCACCCCCCAAATATATGTCAATTTCAGAATAAAGAGGTGTGTTCATTATGCGGGTAAATATGGTAAAAAAGTGAATGATGACTCAAACAAATGCAAAACTCATAGATTGGAATTTGAAAAAAATCACCAACCACATCCTACAACAAGGTCCCAACGTTTCAAAAACAGCTTGTTTTTTTCTTCAGGGGTGACTGCTTCCAGATAGGGGAAAACAGCTTCGTTTTCTTCTATGATAGTCTCTTTTTTTTCACTTTGTTAGGTGGCTGAGTCCGTTCACGTAGCATGATGGCAATGTGCCAGTGGACCTATTGATGTTTCCTGGTGTTGTTTGGATATGCCGTGACTAAAAAGCTGCTGGCAGAAGTTTGTCTCAACATTTATGAGGGTGTTGGCAAAGTTGATGCGATATTCATTGTCCTCACAGTGCTCTGCAACAGCGCTGCGCTCGTGAGTCGAATTTGCAGACATTGTTTTTGTGTTGTTGAATTCTTTCTGGGAAGTTCTTTGTTTTTCCAATGTAGGTGGCATGGAATTGAATATACAATGCCCTGCACTCTTTGTTTAGAGGGATGACCTTTAATTCGCAGCATCATACGTCAAGGTGTTGATACCGGTTTGTGGGACACCTGAATACTTTCTTTTACCAGCATACATGACAACGCTTCGCTAGTCCCCTTTATGTAGGGAACACATATGCGGGTGTGTGGACGGATATTTTTGAGTTTTTAAGCTTTCTCCCGACCAGGCAGGCCTCTGCCAAAATGTTTACACCTAAAACTTGCACTGCATGTAGTAATGGCTCTTGGTCTGCGAGAATTTTTGTTTTAGTTTTGTGTTTGTTGAGCATTATTGGGCAAATGACAAAGGCTACGCCACCTCATTATGACCACAGTAAAAAGAGCTATACACTTGATAACATAGTCCTGGCATGTTTTTGCTTTGAAAAACATTTTAACACACAAGATCAATCTATTTCTTAATGACTGGGAATCCATGACCAAAAAAGTTTTTGTTTCTATTTTGTCTATATTTTTTGTACGAAACTTTTCTTGTGCTACCGTAATAGCTTTAATTTCTAAAGGAAAATTATTTCCGATGTTAGGGGATAGATGGTGCTTCCTCTCGTACGGTAAAAAGAGTGAGCGTATAAAGACGCACTCCCAAAACTGACTGAAGAGTGGTGCATCTATGAGTGCGCCCCCCAGGTTGCTGTTGAAATTGCCATGCATCCAAACATCTTATCAAAAGTAATACATAAACCTTTGTCTAGTGTGAAGTGAATTTTTCCGTTAAATTCAAGTAATGACGTAATAACAACATGGCAGTGCCCACAAGCTGCATGCACGTGAGCGAATTTCACCATCCAAATGGATGAATGACCGTTTTGGCAGAACTGGGCAATGAGGAAAAGGGTACCAATACTTGAGTGTAGCTTTCTTGGGATCTATTATCATTTTAAATTGCAATTCTCATTTGCTCTTTCAGCTCGCACCTTCACGGAGTACGGCAATGTTTGGAAGCAAGTCGAGGACAGCCTCTCTCGATTTCTGTCCCGGGGGCACTATGCTCTTTCAGGTAAGCTGCTTCCCTCTCTTCCTTTTATTCAAGACAAGAATGATGATAATAATCTCTGGAAATGGGGAACAAGGGGGACAAAGGAGATTCCTCTTTGTCCTTTGTTCCCCTTGTACCCCTTTTCCAGGAATTATTTTGTATTCATACTTATTGCATTACTGTGGAGTTCACATTTCGACAACCTGTGGTTGGCTGATGTGTTGTGGAAGTTAAAGCTATTGCACATTCAAACATTGCGTGAAGTACAGCAGAACCCTGCTGCTGCATCGTTATGCAGTCACAATAAGGGATCATGACATGAGCAAAGATGTAACAACTGATAATGCCCTTGGGATAGCTATAGATGTTTCAGGAAGCTGTATTCTCTGTTTATCTCACCTTAGCTTTTATGGCTGAAAAAGATTACCTTATTTTATATTTTTATAATGCAATTAAATGCAAAGGTTATATGTTGACGATTTTTTCAACAGTTCTTAAAATTGTGGTTGAACTATAAGTAACACACTGTTTACAGACAAGCTTGTATTTGCCCACAGCAGCTATGGGCACTGCATACGCAGGAACTAGATTCGTGTGAGCAGACATGTCTGTACATGTGCTGTGCCGACAGCCGCGCCATCGCAGTGATGCATTGTCTATAGTTGCAGTTAAAAAAATATTGAAATATAGAGATGCAAAAATTCTGGGCCCATCGAGCTAAACCACAGCTGCCTCATACAAATCACTGCACCCTGCATGCCAGATCAAAGCAGTGGAGCTTGATGCAATCAGCACTGCTTGAACATGGTGGCATGGAGGTCGTAAAAAAAAAAAAATAGGGTGTCGTGAGAGCCTGAATCTCTTAGCGCCATACAGGACCAAGCAAGAAACACAATGCAGAGAGGCAAGGAGGTGAAATAAATGCAATAAAGCAAAAGGAACAGGGTATGTGTTCCTAGTAGTCATACCTGCCACCTTGAGTGGCAGTGTTTGGGCGTAAGAATCAAGAAGGAAATTCATGAAGCCTGTAATTCTAACATATATACTTTTGGACGTTCGATAGGACCGGTGTCCGTGAACATAACAGCCAAGAAAACATGTGAGCAAGGTTCTTCTCTGCATAATATTGAATGTGCTGCAAGAATATTTCTGGTTATATGCCCACTTAATTTTTGTTTTTCTTCTTTCAGCTCACACCTTACAGACATGTCAGGAAGCAAGGAAAGGTCATTTTTTCACTCATCGTTTACATTTGTCTTAGTCTTTAAAAAAAAAAACACTAGTCATTTTAATGACATTGTGATAAATAAATTTTGGGTCTTTAAATTGTTCTTCAATCTTTGTTTTCTTCACATATTCCAAGCCGGCACTATGTGTATCGGGCATGGGATCAATGGTAGGCCATGTAAACTATTGCAGTTTTTCGGCTGGCCAGCTTAAAGTTTACAAGGGGTTGGCAATGGCAAAATGGTCACGAAGGTCGATCAAGTGACGTCTATGTGATCATTATGCCCTTATGAAAATGGTTAATGCCATTTTGTATTATTGCCAAATGGCAACAGGTGTTTACAAGCAGTCAGTCAGCAGGCAACAGATGTTAATCGTCATTGAGATGTCATCTTGTTGACCCGGATAGCCATTTCGCCACCGTCAACTTTTTGCCGTTCTATTGGTTATTGCCGGTGCATTGGCAGTGTATCTACATGCTAATGCTAATTGGCTATTGGAGGCACTCAAAAGTCTATAAAATTTATAGTCCTTTGATTGCCTCCTTTAGCCATTTAGCGTTAACATGTAGATACACTGGTGATACAACGACAATAACCAATAGAATGGCAAAAAGTTGACGGTGGCGAAATGGCTATCCGGGTCAGCAGGGTGACGTCTCAATGACGATTAACATCTGTTGCCTGCTGATTGACTATTGTAAACAGCTGTTGCCATTTGGCAATAATATGACTTTCAAATGGCATTAACCATTTTCATAGGGGACTGAATCGACTGGAGGGCAGACTGTGAATCGCTGATGATCGTTAAAGCGCGAGGTGATGCTTTTTTAAGCTGTTGGAGCCCCTCTCGAATGGCCACCAGTTCAGCAGCCGTAAATGAGGTTTTGTGGGACAGCTTGTAACCAGCTTTGATACGAAGCACTGTGGCAGCCAAGCCAATCGATGACCCGTTCATTGGTATATATGTGGCAAGAAGAACGGTGCTGTGTATACAATAAAGACAAGGAAAACTGCCAAAGGACAACTAAAGAGAGCGTCGATTGTTTTGTTATTGCAGGAATGGTCTTCTAGATTAGAAGTGGAGGCAGTGACCAGGGTGGTGTATTGAGTACCGCAGGATCTTGAAACACTGTTGGAAGGACATCTTTGTTGTCAATTATAGTTCGAGAGATGCGGCTGTAAAAACAACTATCCGGAATGTGAGCTAGATGATGAGCGTGATGCCGTGTCAGATGTCGCATATGTAGTCGTAGAGTTTCTTGGGTAGGCAGAGCTTTGAAAGGGAGACAATGAGATTCCGCAATCGCGTCCCTGGTCGCGGTTGTCCGCGGTACCCGAAGGCATATTCTGAGTGCCTGGGCCTGGAGCGACTGGAGTTCTTCCATGTTTGTCAGACTTAAACCGTGCAAAACAGGCAAGCTATAGCGAAGGATGCCGACAAATAGGCTGTTGTTTGAACGAAGAAGAGCAGAGGTAGGCGTCCCCCAAGTCGTACCACTTATAAATCTCCCCAAACTTGTGAATGCGGACAACTTAGTCTTTAGGTGTTTCAGTTGGGAGTTCCAAGTTAAGCCTTTGTCAATGGAACCTCCAAGACATATCTGATTAGTCGCATATGGGATTGGAGTTCCATTAATGGAAAGTGGATATCGAATCATCTTCATCTGTGTAAAGGCCACGGCAGTTAAATTTGCTGGCGCAATCTCAAGCCCCCGTATGTGAAGGAACTGAGACATTTTGGACAGCGCATCTTGTAGGCGTGCATGTATGAGCTTAGGTACGCCTGCAGACGTCCAGAGGCAAATGTCGTCTGCATAGACTGTAAGGTGTACAGCTCTTGTGAGCATTTCGGTGATCCCAATGAGAGCAATGTTAAAGAGGGCCGGGCAGAGAACACTCCCCTGAGGCACTCCTTTGGTCACTCTGTGACGAGAAGTTTCCCCTTCCTATGTGCGCATGTAGATCGTTCGATTATTAAGGAAGTCAGATATCCATGCATAAAAACGTCCGCCAATTCCGATAGATTGGAGTCCCCGTAATACTGCTGAATGTTTGATATTATCGAAAGCTCCGCAGACATAAAAAAATACAGCTAGTGTAATTTTCCCCCGAAGTTTCTTCTCGTCAACCTGAGTTACAAGGTCTACTACATTATCAATAGAGCTACAACCTTGTCTAAATACTGTAATGGTAGCTGGATATATCGATTGCGATTCAAGAAGCCATTCAATCCGTGAGAGAACTAATCGCTTCATACACTTACTGACACAGCTTGTTAGAGCGATTGGTCGGTAAGACTTTAAATACAGGGGGGGACTTACCCGGTTTAAGGATGGGCACAACGCAGGCCGTTTTCCAGTCCGGTGGTATATTGCCTCTCGTCCACGAAGCGTTGAATATGGCTAACAAACGCCGGCGAGTGTCAAGCCCCAGATGAGCGAGTGTGCCATAGGTTATGTTATCTGAACCTGGAGAAGAAGAATGACTGAGGGAAGCTAGAACTTGTTCCAATTCCGGGGCATTGAATACATCATCCATGTAACGTGAAAATGGAGTAACTGAGGCTTGATGCTCTATAACTGAAATATCACTGTCACTCACTGCTGATAGGACAAGAGATGCGCAGAATTCCTCAGCAATGTGCCATTGCGAGCGTCTTAGGAACAGTGATATCGCGTGAAAAGGCGTTCTTTGTTGTGGTAGAAATCTTAATCCGCGTGCAATACGCCATATTTTTTAGAGACGAGCACGGGGATCAAATGACGCACAGGTTCCCCTCCATTTCTTCCGTCCGTGTTTATCTAAGTGACGGTGAATATGTTTTTGTGTGCGCCTGTCTTCCCTAATGTCAGCTTGCAGTTTAGTTCGACGTGCGCGTCGCTCAGCCCTCCGGCGAATAGCTCGAAGTTTTTCATACTCTGCATCTACAACAGTTCGTGAGGCCGAAAGATTGACAGTCCTGGTTGCTTCTGTTGCTGATTGATTCATAACTGAAACAAACTCTTCGTAGGTCGTTGTCATATGTATGCGCTGTTCGACACTCTCCCGAAAGCATGTCCAGTCTATATATGAAGTTCGATCATGTCCGGTTCCATTAGCTTGGAATCCGTGTACTGTGATAAAGGTAGGGATGTGGTTACTACCATGACTCTCTACGTCAACAAACCAGGAATTTCGAGCTACGAGTTCGCGTGACATGAAGGCAATATGTAAACAACTGCTACAGCGACTGTCTCGGATGAATGCGTGAACCGTCGTTTAGAAGACAAAGGTCATAAGAATCCGCCAGCTCAAGTAGTTCACGACCCCGACGTATAGTTCTTACACTACCCCAAGCTATATTATGGGCGTTGAAGTCGCCAATAACAAAAACTGGCGATTTACATTGTTGAATAATATCATGAAGTCGCGTAGCATCAAAATGGCAAGCTGGAGCTATATAGGCAGCGATTACAGTAAAAGTTAGTTTGCCCTTGCGGACAGTAACGCCGACATACTCATTGTCTTGATGTGATGTGATATTATGGGAAACATATGTCAAGTCTTTCCGTAAGGCAAGAAGAACCCGACTAACGTTAGAGGGACGAGCTGATCGAAATACTTCGTAACCTGAAAGCCGAAAGTCTGACGCTACACGCGATTCACCAATAGCTAAATTTGGGAACTTTTGTTTAAATGGGAATTGTCGGTAGTCTGAAAGGCGGGCACTAAGCCCTCTCGCGTTCCATTGAAAAACGGTGGCTCCTTTGTCTCATTAAATGAGGAGGAATCATCCAGTACCCTGATGTGAACTTCCGGTCATTGCAATAATTGCCGGTTCAAATGCATGAATCTCTGCTAGATGTCTTTGAAGGTGCATAGCGGCAGTTGGGCCGTGAGACTTCGAAGGACGGAGAAGATAATGCGTATGATGTCACCTATTGTCGTCGTGCCAAAGAAAGAGGGAACCTGTTGCTTGCGACGCAGGGCTCCAGCGGAGGTTTGGCTGTGTGGGCGCGTACCAACGGTGCTAGGAGGTACGCCTGATCCGTTCAGCTCACCTGAAGCGAATGCGGGGTCACGAGGAGGCCATTGGTTGGCCATAAGGGTGGATTTCACAGCGGGTCAAGATTTCTTGCCTTTACCCTTGGAAGGTGAGTCCTTGAGGTTTAACGCAGGGGACCCCTTGTCTTGTGTTGCTTGAAGGTCAGCGGTGGATGATTCAAGTGGAGGCCAGGGGCCTTGAGGGACCTCTGCCTCATTTGTTGACGGCGCAACTTACGGGCCATGGACGAATCTTTTGGTTCTTGCAAGAGCCGTCAGCCGCGCTTTACAATTGACGTGGCTTGCTGGGTGATCTCCGCCGTAGTTGGCGCACTTGAATAGTGCTTCGCCCTTCTAGTATTTGGTTGAATGTTGCTGGACGCATTTCTTGCATTTTGCGGCACCTTTTCAATATTTAGCGACATGACCAAGTGCTTGGCAGTTGTAGCATCCGGTTGGAGCTTCAATAAACTCTGGTACGTCATGTTTTGTAAATGCGAGATTTACTCGGACTGGGCGGTCTGTATTTGAGCGAAAGGTCAGGACTACACGGTCTGCGGGTTGCGCAGCTTCTCCGGACTTTCCTTGACGTCGATATAAGCGGCGGGCTGCAATAACTCCGTCTTGTTGCAGAAATGATGTGATGTCGGCATCGGTATGCCAAAGGGGCACTCCCTTGACAAGACCGCCATTCTGTAGGTAAGTCCTCGGCACTGTAGCTTTGATAGGAACGCCACCGAGAAGGCAAAGTTTCAGGAGCCGATCGACTGTGGTGGCTTCAGCAATTTCCACCATAAGGCCACCTCTATTTGTGAAGCGATGTCGCAAAATGGCAGCAGCTGCTGCCTTGTTCGCCTCGATACTCAAGGTCATTGGATATTGTCGCTGCAAACGATGCTCCTCATTGACCGGTATAAAGAGTACAGGGATACCTGTCGTTCTTTGTCGGCAATTTGAGGCAAGAACGAAGCCCTCTAGGTCACCTTCAATTAAGTCTTCCTCCATTGAGTCACCCGGTGGTGCTTGCAGTTTGGCAGGAGTCACCAGCAAGTCCGCAGGCTCACCGTCCCCGTCGTTGCGACGTTTTCCAAGGGCCGAGTGTCCAGTCTGGGTGTCTTGATCTGCATTGTACGTGTGGTTCCTCCTGGCAGGAGTCTACTGGGAGCACGAAGGAAGGTTGGTCGTTGA